TGTGTGTGTGTGTGTGTGTGTTATTGCATGTGTGTGTACACATACGGCCGTAAATAAGCTCCGCGAAAGCTCCGCTCAAGTAGCCGCGAAAAGAGGACACTTTTACGCGACAGTTCTCGCATCTGGCAGTTCCCAGATAAGTGTTTTGAACAACCACCATATACCAACTAATCAACCACACGCATATATACATATATATACTTATCTGGTCGAATCTTGAGGCTGTCCGAGTTAAGGAGTTTGGCACTTAAGCCACAAAGCTCAACCCTCAAATTCTAAAGCTTTAACCCTACAGGCTACACCTTAACCGATTGCAGTTTCATGCAAAAACGCAGTTTTTCTTTATAGTTTAGCTCTGGTTCTAGAAGCCCAAAACACTCACGTTCCAAACGCCAGACCCTGTCTAGGCTGGAGCTGGATGCGGAGCGGAAGGGGGGACTTCTAAAGTCACAAGACTCCAAACCCCAACCCTTAGCCCCTAAACCCTAACCCCTAAACCCTAACCACTAAACCCTTTTCCCTAAACCTTAAACCCTAAACCCTAAACACCCAAGTCCCAGACCTTGCAGCCTTGAGCTTGGAAGCCATAATTGGGGACTAGTGCCAAGTCGCGGGCTCAAGTCTGCGAGGTTCGGCTCCTAGGAGTTTTAAGTTCAAGGTTTGGCTTAGGGTATAGGGTCTCAGGGGTGTAATTCGTGTTTTAGGGGTGCACGGTTCTACGGGTGTAGGGTTGTAGGGTTTGGGGTTTCGGGCTTCAGGTTCAGGGTTTAGGCTCTAAGTTACTGAAGCTTACCATCGGTTCTAGGGGTAGGCAGGTGAGGATAAGAAAAGGGGTGGCAAAAAAAAAGCCCTAAACCCTAAACCCTAAACCCTAAACCCTAAACCCTAAACCCTCTAAAGCAGCCCCCAAAAAAGAGCCCAGGAGCGACGAGCTGCTCAGCTGCCGGAGAGAGCTCGAGCAGCTGCGCCAGGAGTCCGAGAAGAGGCCCGGGGCTTTCTCTAGGGTGTTTGAAGGGTTTAGGGTTTAGGGTTTAGGGTTTAAGGTTTAGGGTTTAGGGGTTTAGGGGTTTAGGGTTTAGGGTTCTACTATAAGAATAATGAGGAATATATATTTTTTTATATAGATTTTACTACAATCATAATTATAATAGTAGTAGTAATAATGATAGTACTTATTTAGAATGTACATTAAACCGTCATTATAATAAGGAGGCCGCAGTCCCTGCAGTAGGCTTTTGGTGTAGGGCCAGGGCGTTTGAGAGGTCGAGTTTAGGGGAGATCTTGGCTCGGGGGTGTAGGGCTTGCGGGATAAAGTTCACGATGCCCTTAGGGTTTAGGGTTTAGGGTTTAGGGTTTAGGGTTTGGGGTTTAGGGTTTAGGGTTTAGGGTTTAGGGTTTAGGGTTTAGGGTTTAGGGCTTCAGGGTTGACGGTTCAGGGTTTCGTTTTGAGGGTTTAGGGTTTGGTGTGGCTGAATCGGGATGCGGGTGTGAGGGTTTTACGATCTAGGGCTGAGAGTTGGGGTGCGGAGTTGGGGTTCAGGCTTTCGGGGTTCAGGGTTTAAAGTTTACAAGTTTAATTAGGGTTTAGAGTTTACTGTTACGGTTTCGTGTGTCGGGTCCTGCACCCTGATCTCGGAAAGCCCTGCAACCCCCAAATGACAAGCCCCAAATGCTAAACCCTAGACTCTAGACCACTAAACTCCTAAACCCGTCAAGCATCGACCCTAACCCGTAGAGGCGTTTTGCCTTAAGCCTAAAACTCTAAACCCTAAAACTCCCCAGCCCTATCGGCTCGGTGGAACTGGAGCGCCCAGTTGTAGCTCTCCAGCATCTCAGGCTTCTTGAGCATCGTAGAACTCGAACCGACTTAAGGGTTTAGGGTTTAAGGGTTTAGGGGTTTGGGGGTTTAGGGGTTTAGGGTTTAGGGGTTTGGGGGTTTAGGGGTTTAGGGTTTAAGGGTTTAGGGGGTTTAGAGGTTTGGGGGTTTAGGGTTTAGGGGTTTAAAGGTTTAGGGGTTTAGGGGTTGAGGGTTTAGGGGTTGAGGGGTTTAGGGTTTAGGGGTTGAGGGTTCAGAGTTTAGGGGTTTAGGGTTAAGGGTTTAGGGGTTAAGGGTAGATAGAAATCCTAAACTTTAGGCCCGAGCCCTGCAGAATGCATCGTTAGTCGATGAGTTGCGCCGGTGCGAGGAACAACGGGCTCAAAAGAAACGGAGCCCTAAACCCCAAATCCCCCCATCGACAAAATCGAAGCCTTTAACTACAAAGGAACGAATCCGTAAAGCCTCAGACCCTAAACAGTGTGCTGCGGCAGACGTAGAAGTCATCACACTTCAAAAGAACCCCTGAATGCTTTAAGCGTTTAACCTCGAACACCCCTAAGCCCCTGAACCATTGTAGCCGGGCCATCCCCCGGAAGCGCCAAGGGAGCGGCAGGGAGGTGGGCACACACCAAGGGAAACCCTAAACTGGTTTAGGGCGTAAGGTATAGGGTTTCTGGTTCAGCGTTTAGGATTTATTCAGGGTTTCATACAGTGCATGTCGCAGAATCGATGCTGGAAATCCTGTCGTAAAGCCCAGTACAGACTCCGAACACTGAGCCCAAAGCCCTACAGGTCTTACGTGCTGGAAGAAGCACCTGTTTGCAAGATTAGGAGCCGTTGCTCTAGACCCCTGATTCATGAGCAACCTTCACCATGGACAATAATCGGCGGATCACCATTCTGTTCCTTTTTTGAAGCGGGGGTTTTTGAGATGGTTATGGAATGTATGTAGGTCCTTATGGCTGTCCTTCTTGTTGAAGCCTCCTCTCCAAATTAATACCTGAAAGGCAGCCGAACGTGCTGAGGGCTGGGACAGATAGATTCGGGTGGGCCTAGACCGAACAAATCTGCCACCTGCTGTACATCTCAGGACCTAAGCCTGAAACCCTGAACCTGCAACTGCGAAGGTCTGCAGAGGCCGAAGAGCATGCAAAAGAGCGCCTTTGCAGCATGCAAGTGCGCCCAATAGAGGGCATCCCTGTTTTGTGCATCTTTGCCTTTCTGTGCGTCGTGGTGCTTGACCAGTCCCATTGTTGAGTCAGCCTTTCGGGCGTAGTTTTAACTGTATTTATCTACAATAGCTTGCAGCCCCAAAAACCCTGCTGTAGATATTTGGTGGTGGCTTGGAGGCTCAAGGGCCTAAGTACGAATTCTGGCAAAGAGCTGCAATACTTGAAGTGAAGTTCTTCGACGAAACAGCCGTGGCCCTGTACGGTTCCGCTATGCCGCAAACGCCTTTGGAGATCTATGCCAGATCGCTGCCCGAGGACGCAGACGCCGCTGGGCATCACAGGTGTCAGGGCCTCCCTGTGTTGCCCTACGCCCTAAGCCCTAAACTCCCTGCGCTGCGCTTGTGATGTGATCGACCCAGCACTCCCGAATCCCGGAAATCTTTCGTGTGGAAACCTTGCATTTCAACACAAATACAGCGACCATACTTGCTCTTCCTATCCACTTGCTTCCGCAGCAGAAAGGGATATAAAGGGGGAGTTGCCACCATCGCTGAGGATGCCCTGATGCTATTCCCCATGTACACCGTTGCCAGTGACGTGCTGCTCAAGATGACGAAGGTCGAACCACACGAGAAGCTGAAGGCCGCGAAATTGGGGGCTTCAGGGGAGAGTTAAGCTTGCAGAAAGCCTTTCAACGACCAATGGACCTCAAGAATTGGGCTCGGCTTCCATCACCTCTGTCCCAGTCCCTTCAAACAGACCGTAGCTCTCCGGGCAAAGTCTCCAATTCCACACTCATTTGGGGGTTACTGTAGGGATTGTAGAATTCCCTTTCAAGGAGTGGGGCAAGCTCGTGAACTTCAGCGACAACTTGGGGAAAGCGGCTTTCGTGTCGCACCAGTGGCTTACGCAACAGCACCCGGATCCCGACTTCAGACAGATGAGCATTCTGCAGGATGCCGTGAGGCGGATCCTGAGCAGCTCTGGGTCCATTTCCTTGGATCCCGTCACAGAATCCGTGGTGCAAACGGCCAAGCCCTTTCCGATGAAGGACTTTCAGACGCAGGCCCTGTTCTTCTGGTACGACTATTTCTCGTGTCCACAGCTGCTGTATCCGACGCCGGTTGCTCATGATCATGAAGCTGACGTCTCACAGCAGTCCAGTCAGTCCAGCGCCATCAACAGCATCCCAGCGTACGTGGCCAAGTGCGAGATGTTCCTCGCGTTGTGCCCTGTTCTCCCCAGTGACTCGGAAGGCAAAGTGATCACAGCGGGGACTTGGAGCAGGCGAGGGTGGTGCCGCCTCGAGCGAGCCGCACGAGAGCTGTCGGCAAACAGCACTTGGATTCTCATTCAGAGCGATGCCTCCATAGAAGTTGTTGGCACAGCGCTGTCCTTTCCACGGGGGACCGTTGGGGAAGGCGACTTCGGAGTCGTGGAGGATCGGCAGAAGCTGGCCCCGGTGATGCGGAAGATCCTCGTTCAGAAGCTGAACCACTGCTTGCGCGTGGGCGACTTGCCTGGATTCCGACGCCACTTCAACCTCCAGACAGTTCATCTGCGGGGTCTGGAGATCGAGCCAGTGGTCGGCTTCCTCCCCTGCGAGGACCATGGTGGTGATGCGGTGCTCCAAAACGGCTTGAGGAGGGTCGGCGAGGTCGACAGGGCGGGGTGGCAGCCCCTTCACTATGCAGCACTCGCTGGCAACGTAGAGGTGCTGCGAGGTTTGCTGGAGAAGCTCGCCGATGTGAACCAGCGCACGTCGAAGGATGAGCCGATGCTCGGCTTTCGGCGTTGGATGTCCGCTTTGGACTTGGCAGTATTTTTCAGGCACCACAAGGCAACACGCTTGCTTCTTGCGGCGAAGGCTTTCCATTCTCAACTTCAGGGCGGAATCGCGCCGGCAATCCTGCATGCTGCCGCTGGAGACAATGCAGAAGCTGTCCGTCTCTTGTGCGCAGCGGGTGCCAGGCCGCTTGCCCGGAATCTACTTGGCCCCACCAGCTTGCAAAGCGCTGCTGGCCTTGCGGCGACAGAGGCCCTGGAGGAACTCGTGGTGCAGGGTCGGCCGAATTCGCTGGATCTTTCTCGGGCACTCTTCGACGCTGCAGGATTTCGGGGTGGCTCGGCAGAGCTGGTGCAGAGGTTGATTTCTCTCCGTGCTGATGTTGACTTTCAGATGAATGTGACCCGTGACTACGGGCCACTGGGCCAGCTGTTGTTTGCGTGGAAGTCCTTTCAGTATAGCCTTGGCCGGAGGAGTGTTATGACGGCTGCCGCTTTTCATGCCAATGGCAGCACCCCGCTGATGCAATCCATCCGGTCGGCTCAATTCGAGGCCGCCGCGGCCCTCATCGCGGCCGGTGCCAGGCTCGACCTCCGCAATGGCCGGAACTGGACCGCGGCAGACTTTGCCCAGGGCCAGTCGGTCCCTCGCTTTGTACAGCTTGGCCTCGAGGGGGACGCGTCGGAGTGCAGCCGAGTGTCCTCGCTTGCGCTGTCGACCGGTTGCGTTGCCGTGTGACTTTGGAATCGAAATTTTGAGAAGCCAGGAAGCCAGAGAGGCAGATTCCTTTCGGAAGAGTATTAAGGGCACAGCCGCACCCCATGCAGGGGGCTTGCCTTTTTTTTTTCAGCCTCCGCCGGCTTGATAGGTCTTTCGGGTCATGTTTATGCGGTCGTCATAAGCTGCCGTATCACTGATCTCAGTGCTGCCCTCTTGCGCCCGTCCTAACGGATGTGGCTCATGCGTTCTTGCTCCTGTCCCCACACTGGGTATGGGGATGTGTACAGGCACTGCTGCAATGTACCCGCGTTCTTGTCCGACACATAGTCGAAGAAACGGCGCGCAGGCAACCTGCCGTTGCAGTGAGAACAGGCGGCCCATCACGAGCATCTCGCCCAAACCTCGAATGCTAAAGCTCTCGCTCTCGAAGCCTCCTCTGCACGAGACTCCAACCTGGAATCCGACCGGAAGTCTTGAGCCGCAAAACTGAGAGCCTGAGCGGAAAGCCTATGCCTACCATCTAGAGGTCGGGCTATTTGGCAAGAGTATCCCCATATCGCCCCTTGGAGATACTCAGGCTACAGTATGCTTCCAGCAACTAATGCCTTAAACCCGAAACCCTGCAATCCCTAAACCCTAAGTTTCAAGGAGGGAGGAGCTGTTGCAGTGCCGATCGGAGCTCGAGAGGCTGCAGGAGGAACTCGCTACGAGGCCTCAGGAGATTTTCCCGGAGTTTTGACAGGGATTTAATGGGAATAGTAGGGTCTTACAGGGTTTTTGTATGATTTGAACTTGGCTTAGTCGTGTGTTGTATGGTTTTAGACTGCTGTACCTTTGGGCTTCATGAGGTTATACAGTTGTTTTTGCACAAGGTTTTACAAGGTATCGTGTATAGGAATGGGCTTCAGAATGTTTTAAAGAGGTTTTAGACTTCGGGGGGTGTGATCGGGATGTCCATCGTCTTTTCCGGATTCCGTAGAATGAGGAACGTGCCATTCGAGCTGAAAAACCACGTTGGAGCAGATACTTTGGTTTCCCCGGCTAGGTGAAAACGACTGCCGCTGGTTGGGAATTCTTACTTTGTTTTTGGATTCAGACATGCCAGTTTGATAACCCTAAACCCTAAACTTTCACTTATCTTATGGATAGTCCGGCGGCTTTCGTCTTCCAAAATCTGTGTTCGTATCTTCAGGCGCATGTGTAGCTAGTGTAGCCTTCACGGGAGTTGGGGAGCTGAAGCTGCTTCTGGGTTTAGGGTTTAGGGTTCAGGGTTTAGGGTTCAGGGTTTAGGGTTCAGGGACGGTTTAGGGTTTAA